TTTCCAGATATCCGTACAATGCGTTGTCTGGAAGATGTCCAGATGTCCTCCAGACGACGCATGCCCACTGGGATGGATACCTAGAACATGACTGATCAGAAAGGACAAAATCACTGCTTTGAAATTTTCGGAACCATCTTCTACATGTCCTATCAGAAACAGTATCTTCGTTAAACACTTTCAATAAATTTCTACATGCTTCTGTAGCATTTTTTCCTTGTTGAAGTTTGTATAAAATACAGTTCATATTACGTTCACATTACGTTCATATAAAATACAGTGAACTTTACCAGTAGCCATGTTTACACTATCACTCTATAATAAAGATAAACGTAAAATAACTTTATTTGAGTTAATTTGTTGCCTGTATGAATACTTTAAACGATAAAAAAAAAAAAGCCGAACGTGCGCTAAACAAACATGCTAATGTGTTTAAATTTTTTTTTATAGTAGTGGACAGAACTTTCTGTTTGACCTAATACTTTTATATTGAGCTGTTCCAAACTGACTCAGGGCTCTGGGATAGAATTAAATCGTCAAGCTCCAAAATCTAAATATTATCTATACAATACATCAGGGTTCAAATTACGCATATCCGCAATTAACTATTTTTAATATAAAAAAAATCACAATTTTTTTTTTTACTTTCTTTTTTTTTTTTTTTTCTAATTTAGTATTTTTTTGGCCATTCTTAAAGGTAATTTTTTTGTTTAAGTTTTTTTTATTAGGGGTTCATGAAGTACGTTAAATTACTTAAGTGTGTTAAATTTATTTTGCAAATATTAGTATGATTATTTGCTCTCTTGCGCTGAGATTTTTATTCAACATAAAGCACTTTTGATTTTAAATGACTTTAGATCTCTGCAAAGCCAATAAAATTTTAAATTTATATTTAGTTTGATTTACTGAATGGATAAATTACATTACAACTAGTTTATCTATATACTAAATCAAAACAACCAGTTAAGTTACTACAGTAACTTACAGTTACTAAACTACTAAATTTACTTAATATACTCAAAGACTCGCAAAAGTTAGCCTTATAAATGTTTCTATCTTATATCTTATGTTGTTAGCACATAATATATGCTTCTAACTAAAAATTGTTTTAACAAAAAATCTTGAATAGAATATGAAAAACATAGATCATAGTGCAAAAAAAATTAGTTTGATAAATCAAATTATATTTCGTTAAGTTTAATAATGTACTTAAATTATTTTTTTTTGGAAAAAAAGTTTTTTGAACAGAAGTAAAATAATTTATTTTTTTTAATTTAAAGTTTATATAATTTTAAATTCTATAAGTTTTAAAATAAAAGCAAAAATTACTTTATTATTAATACAAATTACTTAATAAAAATTTCCCCTAATTTTGACTAATTTGACTTTTAGTTGATTTCAAAATTTTATTTTTGTCAATTTTAGTTGACTTTATAAAACATATTAGTCGATTTTAGTTGGCTTTAGAAAACATATTAGTTGATTTTAGTTGACTTTAGAAAACATTTTAATTGATTTTAGTTGACTTTAGAAAACATATTAGTTGATTTTAGTTGACTTTAGAAAACATATTAGTTGAATTTAGGTGACTTTAGAAAACATATTAGTTGATTTAGTCGACAGTCGATTTACTTGAAAGTTGTAACAACACTAATATAAATTGTTGGATAAACCATAATTAAGCCTATAGATAACTTTCTGTGCAATATCTTATCTTTTTGTAAACAACATGCGTGCGCATACTTGTAGGCAGAAAACATTCAAACTTTATAAGTATAAATTCATACGTTTATAATACACTTTATAAGTGTTTTTTGCATTTTTTTTATTTACTTAAATAATATTTTGTCTTCTTTTTTAAAAATGATTGAAACAACAACAACAATAATTCTTATAAGCTTTTTCAACGCAAATTGCTGTTAAAAATCTTTAGAAATTTAATAAATAACAACATCATAATTGAATATTTTTAAGTAGTATAATTTAGCATTCAAAGTGCAGTGGTTAGAGACACCTAATATTGCCAATTGTAACAAGAAGTAGTAAAAAATCAACAAAAAATGGTGGAAAGTTAGTAGCAAATGATAAAGCCCTAGTTTTAAAAAAATTATAGCATTGTAAAAAAGTTAGGTAATTTTAAAAACTTTACACTTTTGTTGGAACAAAATGAGTTCTGTACAGTTCAAAAAGATGATGAAAAGATTTTTAAACCAGAGAATAGACAAATTAAAACTAATACCATCCTTTAAAATGTATTTAGATTTTTAATTTGTAAATATAAATATAATGCTTTTCTATAAATTTATTTTTATCATTTATAAATAATCAGGGTGGCCATCAACTTGGAAATCCTGCTAGAGTCTGGAAATTTAATAATGTAAAATTCAGGAAATTTTGATTGATTTAGTTGCAAACTAAAAGTTATTATTTGAATTGACAATCAAAATAAAATTGCAAAAAATGTATTTTAAAAGTCAATGAGAGCACTTATGAAGCAAGTTTATGTTTTTGAATAAAAGTAAAGGGCTATGTGAAATTTTTTGTTGCTTTGTATGTTAAAATTTTAGGGAAAAGTCATGGAAAATAAACATGAAAATTTGCTTGCCATCCTGATTATATACATTTACATTATTCAATTATACTCAAGCTGGTATAGAAGGCTTTATTCAGCAAATTAAGAAATATATAACCTAAAGATATAATTATATTATTTTACATTAAAAAAAAAAATAGTTATCAAATAACAGCAGTAAGTAATAAGAATCAGCACTTAGTCAGCAAGAATATAGCCACCGAGTTTAAGTTTCTGATAAAAGTTTATTCTGATGTCATCTGTCTAATACACAATCACCCAGTCAGAAGATAAAAAACTAGTTGCTGGTTTACATACCAATTAGATATTTAATGGATGTGTTTATAACTAAACCAAGTTTGCTATCATGAAGTTAAATTTTTTTATTATATTCTGCTTAATAAGTGCAAAATAAAGATCATCCTCCAACATCAAGCATGAGTGAAATAAGTTTTAAATTTTTAAAGAGCTACATTATCATTTAAGATAAGTCTAAAAAAAAATTCTTTTGTTCATCTGATATTAGATTTTGGTATGAAATATGTTCACTTTGTTTAAGTCAAGTTTTTAAGTTCAATATTTCAATTAAGTTTAGTATTAATTGAAAATAAAAAGTAAAATTTTGCTTTATCAATATTGTGTTAAAAATATTTAGAAATAGTAGACTCATTATTAGATGGTTTAGTGTCATAATTTATTTTCTCAGTATGGTCAAGCTTTATACCGTAGATGATGATTGTGATAAGGATCCTCGTTTATATACTTTAGCATACTTTTCTCTTTTCTTTTTTAGATTGAACTAGAAAGTGGAGCTACTTCAATGTTATGAAATGTTATGGATTGCTTTATTCCAGTCTCTACATCATGGATTAGCTTTAATCCAGTCTCTACGTCTTCTTTTAAAAGCTAATTTTCCAAAAGAAACTTTATAAATTTTAAATCCACATTAGTTTTCACTTCTTTTTGACAACAACTGGTTGAAATAATTTAATTTTTGTTAAAAAGTCAATAAGTGAAATTTCTTAACAAAACATACAAACATGTTAATGTTTTGTGCTGGATAATTTCTGATTATTTTTTCTGCCTAAAAGTGTGGGCGCGTATGTTTTTTTTTAAATGAGAATGTAAACATTTCTAAGTCATCTATAGGCACAATTATTGTAGAGAACTTTTTTAGTAAACTTTATATACAAAGTGAAGAAAAGATGATTTTAATTTTAAAATAGCTTTTTAACAAAAGAATTTTTATTACCATAAACGTTTTAGATTGATCATAGAATGAATGTAGATTAGAAATGAATGAACATTGATTAGAAATGAATGAACGTTGATTGGAAATAAATGAATGTTGATTAGAAATGATTAAATAGTTTATGAGTAGAAGGCAAAGATTTTGTTAAAGCCAAAGTGTTGAAAAAATTGTTAATAGTTTTTTTTTTTTTTTACCGTTTTGTCACTCACAAGCAATTGTTTCTACATTTAAGAAAAAAACAAATTAAATTGTGAGAAAACAAACTTAAGACGATAGTATTGTGTTATGAATGTTTTAAGGAATAGATAGAAAGTATAAGTTTAAAACACGTATTTAAATTTTATTGATAATTTTTTTAATAACAATATTGTTTTTTTTTAATAACAATATTGTTTAATTTAAAGATATTTAGATTAATGATTTTCAATGTGGTTTCAAATTAAATTTAATTATAATGCGTTACTTTAAAAAATTTAATTATAGTGCGTTACTTTAAAAAATTTAATTATAATGCGTTACTTTAAAAAATTTAATTATAATGCGTTACTTTAAAAAATTTAATTATAATGCGTTACTTTAAACAATTTAACTATAATGCGTTACTTTAAAAAATGCAACTGATGTAATTTAACTTTAATGATATAAATATAAATTACATTAACTTATGTTATGCAACAAAATTTCATAACAAGGCCTGTGTCTACATTTAATTGTTTTTAAGACACATTTACATCCTTTAAAGTGTTTGTTATTTTTCTATCTTCTGCTTCTATTGTTCAACATAATTAGGCAAATTATTGTCTTTTTTATCCTTAATTTACATTTTTAAAAATTTAATAAAATTAAAGATAAGATTAAAAAAAAGATAATATCAAAAATCTATTAGTTAAGAATTGAACAGAATGAGAACTCTTATTTCTTCTTGGGAAAATTTTTTGATGAAATTCAAACCAAAACATTGTTACATATACATGCATTTAAGAAGTTCTAGGGTATGTTATATCTGGAAGTTCTAGGATATGTTAGATCTGGAAAGTTCTAGGATATGTTACATCTGAAAAGTTTTTGATAAGAACAAATGTTTACAAAATGACTATGATTAAATTATAATATGATTTTATTGTTACAACAGTTTTTATAATTATTTTTAAGAATTATTTTAATTTTTTTTTTTAGTTTATTTCCCAACATAGAAATAAAACAAATGAGTATTAGTCAATCTATAGAGGTTTGTTAAAAAGTTTCAAATTTAATAATTGAGTTTTAGAAAATTTATAGGACTATATATTACATTTTTTTTTTAAAGGCTCCTTTAACAAAAGATACCACTGCTGTTTTATCAGGTTCACTTCAAAACGTCAATGGAATAGGTACTGGAAGTGTAAACTGCATGTTAAGAAGAACATTTTCACCAAAATCATTTGGAGAGGTTTTTTCATTCTTTGCATTCTTTTCTTTTCTTACATTAAAAAAAAATAAAACTTGTAATACTGCTGAAGATTTGCTGATTTTTTTTGTTGAAATAAAATAACATAAATAAATAATCACTTTGAAAGTAAAAATCACTTTGCAGTTTTTATCCTTAAATTGTTATTTTTTTTTAACTTTTTGTTTACAGTTAAAAATGAAATTTTTAGTTTACAGTTAGAAAAAAAAATTTACTTTTTAGTTTGATGATATTTGTTTTTTAGTTATAATTAATATATAAACTTTTTTTCCTAATAATACTTTTATCTAATACTAAATATTACTAACCACCTGGGACTCAATTTTAATTTCACAATTAATTTGTTTTGTAAATTATTTAGTAGTAACCTTAATGATTGCAAAGTTTTTACGATTAAAAGCAGTACAATTCTGTTAAAAGTAAAAGTTTTTAACAGTTGGGCTGAAAAGTTTGTATCGTTTAATAGAAAAACACATTTTTTTTTCAAAATTCGGTTTTATTATTCAACATAGTTTCCATCAGAGGCGATACAGCGATTATAGCGATCTTCCAACTTTTCGATACCATTTTTGTAGTACGATTTGTCCTTTGCTTCGAAATAGGCTTCAGTTTCAGCGATCACCTCTTCATTGCTCTTAATTTTTTTACCAGCGAGCATTCTCTTGAGATCTGAGAACAAGAAAAAGTCACTGGGGGCTAAATCTGGAAAATACGGTGGATGAGAAGCAATTCGAAGCCCAATTCATTCAATTTAAGCATCGTATTCATTGACTTGTGACACGGTGCGTTGTCTTGATGAAACAGAACTTTTTTCTTCTTCAAATGAGGTCGTTTTTTTGCAATTTCATCCGTCAAACGCTCCAATAACGCAATGTAATAGTCACTATTGATGGTTTTTCGCTTCTCAAGGTAATCGATGAAAATTATACCATGCGTATCCCAAAAAACAGAGGCCATAACCTTCCCAGCCGATTGTTGAGTCTTTCCACGCTTTGGAGTCGGTTCATCGCGTGCAGTCCACTCAGCTGACTGTCAATTGGACTCCGGAGTGTGGTGATGGAGCTATGTTTCATCCATTGTTATGTATCGACAAAAAAAATTGGTTCTATTTCGATGTAACTGCTCCAAACACTGCTCAGAATCATCAATTCGTTGTTGCTTTTGATCGATTGTGAGTTCACGCAGCACCCATTTTGCACAGAGCTTTCTCATATCCAAATATTCATGAATAATATGTCCAACGCGTTCCTTTGATATCTTTAAGGTGTCAGCTATCTCCAACAACTTCACTTTACGATCATTCAAAATTATTTTGTGGATTTTTTTCACATTTTCATCGGTAACAGCCTCTTTTGGGCGTCCACTGCGTTCATCGTCTTCGGTGCTCATATGACCAGTACGGAATTTTGCAAACCACTTACGAATTGTTGCTTCGCCTGGTGCAGAGTCTGGATAACACTCGTCAAGCCATTTTTTGGTATCAGCAGCACTTTTTTTCATTAAAAAGTAATGTTTCATCAACACACAAAATTCTTTTTTTTCCATTTTTTTCACAATAACAAAAGTAGCGTCACTACTAGAGCAATATATCACAAACTAATAATCTGACAGCTGTCAAATTTTTACACGTATCTTTTCAAGGTTGGTACTAACTAAAAATGGTATGAATTTAATTCTAGTGGCGCCATTTCTTAGAAACAATACAAACTTTTCAGCCCAACTGTTATCTCGACTAATAATCTTTACTGATTTTCCATTTAACCTGTTCCTTCATTTAATTTGTTTCTTCATTTAACCTGTTCCTTCATTTAATTTTTTCCTTCATTTAATTTTTTCCTTCATTTAATTTGTTCTTTCATTTAATTTGTTCTTTCATTTAATTTTTTCCTGGACAAGATTTGAAGGCCATATTTAACTAGGAAATTATGCCAAATCTAGTAATGATTTCTATTGGTTAATGGAAAATAATTTTAAGGTACCTAGTAAACGAAACTAACATAAAATTTTATCAGAAATTATAATAAAGTGTTTAATAGACAAAGTACATCATAAAATATTTTGTAACGACAAAAAACATTAATACTGATCATTAACTTTAAAATCAGCAAAACATTGAGAAACATCAAGTTTTGAGAAAAATTCATGTTTTTCATTAACTTGAAAAACATTAATTTTTCTCTATTTAATTTTAAAATAAAAAATTAAATAAAAATAGTTTAGTTCAATTTTTTTGTTTTGCAGTTTGAATTAGGTGTTGGTGATAACACTAGTATTCGTCTCAAAGGTTATCATAATCTAGGGAAAAAAATGGCTGGAAATTTGTCATTAAACTTAGCATTTCGACAATCAATGCTATCAGCAGGAGTGCAAGCAAGTAAGACCAAAGAATATTATTTTTATTATAATTTGTTACTGTTAACAAATTATAATAAAAATTAAATTACATTAATAATATTATAATATAATTTATTTAAAAATAATTTGTTACTTCATAGATATTTTAAAAAACATAAAAGAGTAATTGCAGACATTTTTATATCGTTATGGGAAAGTTGAAAGTGTTATTTTTGTTTTGTTTGAAAATTTGTTTTGTTGAAAGTTTTTAAAACTATGTATTAGCTGTTTCATTTTTTGTTAATTTATCAAGGTAAACTATTTGTATAAAAGTCTATCAAGGTAAACTATTTGCAGAAAAATTTATCAAGGTAAACTATTTGCAGAAAAATTAAACCTGGTAAATTTCCAGAAGAAAAAAAATATGTGATCTCTCTAAAATTAATTTCTTATTTAATTTTGTTTGTAATATGTTGATAACTATTTTTTAATGAGCTTTTTTTATATTTACAAAACTAATATATAAAAAAAAAATAAAGGTTTTTTTTTTTTTAATCATCTTACTTGTAAATAAGGGTAAAGAAGTTTAATAATCAAACTTTACTTTTCAACTTAAAATAAGTATAGTGATTTTACTTTTCAACTTTAAAATAAGTATAGCACATTTAAGTAGAATGACTTCATATTTACACTTCTTTAATAACATATAAGTAGAAAATATAAATAGAAATACTTTGCACTTATATGTTATTAAAGAAGTATTAAATTTCTTTATTAACATATATGTAAAATGAATTGTAAAATGAAAACTTTTAATGTACTGACCTGTTTTGATAGATACTGTTGTAGATATGTAATGATCACAAGCTAATCTATATTTTTGCAAACCCCTCCCTCCTACACCCCATTTATACCATGTTTGAGCTAATAGTTTTTGCAAACCCCTCCCCCTATACCCTATGCATACCATGTTTGAGCTAATTGTTTATTTGTGCTTATTCTTTTGACTGAAATTAAAAGTTTTATACATAACTTTTATTTGATATCAAAACATATGTATCGATACTATATGTATTTGTATGTATGTATTTGTATTTATTAGAACAGATAATACATGTTCTAAAGGACACGCAGGTCCAATATTGATGGACACTAACAGCGTGCCCACCCAAAAAATAAATAAATAAATTATGTAACAGCATACAACATTGAATAAATAATTTATCAACGCCGACAAAACTTTTTAAAATTGATTGAGTTAATTTTCCTCTTAAAGATGTTGATATTATCGGCATTAAAAACATCGAAAGGCAACTGATTCCAAATGTTGACAACTCGGTAAGAGAAACTAAATTTGTGAATATCTAGTCGACAATGTTGTTTGTGCAATTTATACTTATGTCCCCGAATGTTGTTTTTGTTGTCAAAAAGAAAGAACATAGATTTATCAATTAAGACCAAGTTATGCAGAATTTTTGTATCAAAGTTAATAAATAATTTAAAAAAATTAATGCTGAAAGTATGGCATAATATTACCTAATATATATATATATATATATATATATATATATATATATATATATATATATATATATATATATATATATATATATATATATATACATATATACATATATACATATATACATATATATATATATATATATATATATATATATATATATATATATATATATATATATATATATATATATATATATATATATATATATATATATATATATATATTCATTATATTTCAACAAATGGTCTGTGGTATATATCTCTGATTGTCCTGAGTTTTACATTTCCTTATCTGCATTATGTAGATGAATTAAATTTAAAATTTCATTCTTCTGAGTACAATGTTTTAGAAATTATAGCCATATTAACTTAACACACTTAACTCAATTTACGAATTGTAAAAACAGACAACTTTATGAATTTCAACTAGTGTCTCTTTTTTTCTAGAACTATTAACTTAATTATTTTATCTTTAAAATAGTGGTTTTTATTAATTCATATAATATTAATTTTTCAAAAAATTCAAAGTCATTTACATTTTTATTTTTACAATTACAATTAATATCAATTTAATCACCTATGATAAACTGTGAAAACCACCTATGATAAACTATGATTTTACTTAAAAGAGTTTATAAGCTTCTCAAAATGGCTGAAAGTTGGACAACATATTTTTATATAAATTTGAGTTCTAAACTGCAAAAGCTGCTTATATTTATTTCAGACAATAGTAATCAGAAAAGATAGATCAGAAAATGCAGATGATTATATGTAAAAATCAGGAAAATTAGAGGTGTCTTTAAATTAGTTGAAATATAATGAACTGATTCATATTCTACTTTAATCTGTTATATAGTTAAAGATACCTTAGTTGCTGTGTTAGCTCACCCATAAATTATTAAATATATGTTTGTGTTGTCTGAACCTCTGACATGGTATTCACTCAAAACACACAAAATTTGCTAATTGTATGTTTGTGTTCTGTGTGAATCTTTGTCTTAGCTCATCTGTAAGTTACTTTATGTATTTTTGTTTTCTGTCCTAACTTCCGGCATAGTGTTAGCTCATTCGTAAGGTACTATATGTAGTTTTGTGTTCTGTTTGAACCTCTGATGTGGTGTTAGCTCAGTGACTGACTACAATCAAATAAAAAACTTTTATTCACCTTAATTACTCCAATCATATGAAACTTACTTTTATTTACCTTAATTTCCAGTATCCCTTTAGATAAATGTTTTTTTTTTTTAATGTATATTAAAAGTCTTTTGACCAATAAGTTAAAATTGTGCTTGCAGAAGTAACTTTTTAGAAGTAACATTTAAGTAGACTTCATTCTTACACTTCTTTAGTAACATAGTAGTAAGTATAATTTTTAGTAAGTAGAAAACCTTTAGTAAGTAGAATGACTTCATATTTACACTGCTTTAGTTAAAGACATAAAAAAAACTTACTCTCAATGTGTTTTATATCAGGAATAAAAAAGTCTAATAAATTGAAGATTAGCAAATGCATATATCCATTATATAATCATATAATGGATTAGATATGTGATGTGAATAGTAAAAGATAATTAGAGAATATGCAGGGTAGAAGGCTCAGTAAAGTTGCTGATATTAATATAGGAATATCTACATTATTTTTGATAATAATAAGTAGAAACTGAGTTTTGATTGGGATGCTGAAACCCCAATCTGTTACAATCTGAGGAGAAACTCCATTTAAGATATCCTAAGTTTTTCTAAGCAATGATTTTTGTCTGAAATAAAAAGCTGAAATAAATGATTTTATTATCAGAAAATAGAGCCTCGCTTTTAAAGAGCCTCTTTAAAAGTGAGGTTTTCAGGCGATTAATGTTAATGAGAAACAATAGAGACCAAAATGGAACGTTATAGTACCCTCCTTCTTCCTCATCCCGCGCCTTCCCTCAACCCCTAGAAGTTGTGAAAAGAAGAAGAAATGAGCAAAAGAATTTATATACTTTAAGAATTTATGCTGAAGAATTTTTGATTTCATTTTAATAAAAATCATTTCAATCTAGTTAATTTAAGAATTTTATTGAGTTATTATTTTTGAAATTTATAAGAATATCTTTTATTGAGTTATTTTTTATGAAATTATGAACACTTCTATTGTGTTATTTTTTTGAAATTTACAAGAAATTTTCTAAAGATAAGAGAGACTTCTTACCTTCTATTTTGAAATTTTGTTTCATTATTTTATCTAGGTTTTCAGAATAAAACTTTTTTTAATTATTTTAATGAATATGATTTACCAATGGAAAAACATTTAAATTTGTTTTGCTTTAAAAAAGTCAAGGCTATAAATCATGAATGAAACAAAATTTTTAATATTCATTTAAAAAAAAAATTTGTTTTTAAAGTGATTTCAAGACAACTCACAAATCATACGACTGGTTATGTAACATGGACAGGTGGTTTTTTATCATCTATGTCTTCAATGGTAGTTAGAAACACAGAAAAATACCATGCTTCTGCACAACTACAGGTTTTGTTTTGTTTTTTAATTTATATTTGTAATATTTATATTCAATATATATTATATATACTAGCTGTCATGACCCGTAAAATACAAGTCTTTGTAAATTTAGTCCACACCGACCTTTTCTATACTTTATCTTTTTATATAGCCTATCTTTCTAGACCTTAAAGATACAGGTGTTTACTGAACCGACCGTTTCTATACTTATCTATTCAACACCAATCTTTCATTACTAACTTCAATATTATTTTGTAAAATAAAGTAATTTTAAAAACTTCTAAATAAATTGCTTTAAGAGCAAGTTCAGACAGAAATAGCCAAAAAAATTCACATAAACCTCTTTTCCATATACGTGGATCTTATAAAAGAATTATAAAATAGTTTTTCACCTAAAAGGTGAAAAAATAACTTTTTCAAAATAAATTTTCACCTAAAAAAAAAAAAAACTAAAAAAAAACTAACTATTCTACATTAACCTTGTCAAACACAGAAAAATACCATGTAATGTAGAATAAAGATTCTACTTTAACCTTAAATTAACCTCCTACATTAAAAAAAAAATTCACATATGCATCCTTTCTGTATATTTATACTTAGAGCTTAACATGAAGAAGATAAATCATTTAGTTCAAGACAACCTGCCCAAACCCAAACCCTCTGTTGATTTACAATAATTTGAATTGCGATTTATTAAAATAGCTTTTAATAAATAATATAAAGATTGATGGTTCTTCTTTTTCGCCTTTAGAAAATGATTTAAAGAAGACTTTAAAGAGTTTTAAATTGATTATAAACGCATTGTCTATCTAAAAATGAAATAAAATTATTATTGATAACACTGAATGCACACTTATATGTATTATGTTAATTCATTTGAAATATGAAAAATACAAAACAAAATTTAGTAATATTAAATAATGAGACACTTACTTTGTGAGAGTGCTTTTGTAAAAGTGTCTAATATTGGATTGGAAGGCTGGAAATACTTTTTTTTTTTTAAATTCAGTTTTATCAACATTAAGATAAATTTTATTTATCTTAATTTAAGATAAATAAAATTTATTTTAAGATAAAAATTTACACTGACATAAAAAAATTAGGCATTTATTCTAAAAATATTTCTTGGCTTTAAGTGAATGATTAGGAGTAAGTTTCAGTAATGAAGCTACCCAATAATCATTTTTAACAATAGACACCAATGTGAAGGTAAGCCAAGCTGTCTATCAACTCAAAACATCACAACAACATTACAGGATGACAAACAATAACACCAGTAGTGTAGGCAGGGTTTTTGTTGTTTCAGATATATATTTAGAACCTGTTGAAGAGTTTAACTGTAGTATGTCTAAAAAAATTCATGTTAGTAAAAAACTTTTTTTAAACATATTTGTTCCTAAGCTCTAACAACATCAATTTTTTGCAAAGTATTTTAATGCGATAAATGTGAACACACTTAAGTTTGGTTGAAAGTACTATCTGAAGCATCAAAATATCCTGCATATGCTATTGAATACACATTGCACAAAATATTTGTAAGTACACATAACACAAAATATTCATATTATGCGTTTCCAAAATAATTTAAAAGCTAGACAACACAACCTAGCTCAACACTTGTAACACCGCTTGGCACTAAACACTGCCAAGTAACACTACAGTTTAGTAACACTGCTTGGCATTAAGTGCCAAGTAACACCACTAATTAGTAACACTGCTTTGCTGGCAAGTATTACAATCTTGCACTACACGTTGCCAGGTAACACCACTTTTCACATGGAAACAATTTAATATAAACTTATATAAACTTAAGCACATAAATAAAGATATATAAACATATATTAAGCCTTCCCAGGAAAGGCATGCAGTTTATTGTCTGGTACGACCACGAAAACGTTTTTTCAAGTTAGAGAACGTTTGCGCAAGTTATATTATATGCGTTACTGAAAAATTGTTTTAAATTTAATAATTACATAAGAAATTAAAGTGAACTTAAATAGAAAACAATATTAATAGTTAAAATAATTTGTGTATTGTTTTTACTTTTTCTTTTTCTTAATGGTTATTATTATCGGCAACAAAGTTCATTAAGTCAAAGCAAAATAAAACAAAAAAAAAAACAGTTTTAGGCGTTAAAAAGGATGACTTTCCCATATTTTATGTGTTTTTTCTTTTAAATAGGAAAAAGAAAATATGTATTATCATCTGTTTGTAAAATATATTTGTATAATTATAATGTAACAAGTTTATATCAAGAGTTAAATTATACGATCGCGATTTGCAAACTCTGGTAAAATATTAGGTCTTTAAAGTTTTAGTTCATGCAAAGCTGTGTACTTTGTTTATAAGGAGCAAATTATTATAAGTTTGCTAGCGAGAAAAAAAGAAAGTTACAAAAAGCAAAACAAAAACAATAAACTTACGACTACAAAAGTAATAACACTTTAGTAACTAACTGCATTATAAAAGTAATAAAACTATAGTAGTGTTATTACTTTTATAAAGCACTTATTATTTTTAAAGTTCATTTAAATTTTTTAAATGAACTTTAAATTTTGTTTTGAATTTTATTTTGTTGCTGAATATAACTTTAAAGAAACTAAAATAAAAACAGTACACAAATTATTTAAATTATTAATTTGTTTTTATTTTTTTCTATTTCAATCTCTTTTTATATTGTTAGTTTTTTGTTTTTTGTTTTTGAAACTTTTTCAGCATTATTATAAAACTTGCAAACGGCCGTGTTCACGTTTTCTAAAATATTATAATCGCATGTGGTCATACAAGACGAAAAACCGCACACCTTTCCTGGAAAGGCTTGCATATAAGCACATACATTTATATACACATATAGCAAAAAAAAAAAAAAAAAACATACAAAAAAAATAAAACACATATAACACATAATATACTTGTGAAAATTATAAATTAAGAACATTTGTAAATACAACATTATTTGTGTAATATTTGTCAAATGGCATACCGTTTAATGGATGTTTATCAACTTTAAAAAACAAACTATTAAATAATCTTGTTCTTTAACATGCAACATATAATTGGCCATGTGAAAAGCAAGGCTTTTTGAGATAAACACCAACTTTTTTTGTTTGACTTTGACTTTTATTTATGGTCATTGAGTATGCTAACCTAACTGGAAACTGGCGATGTTTAAATGTAAAAGGTAAATTTGAATCTGATGGAGCTAATTGAACTCGAGGAACAAATACCCTGTTACCAGCTGATACACCTGTTAAAACCTCACGATCAATGTAATTGTTGTGTAGTGCTTGCACCATTAAACGGGTTCCATTACAAAGTCCTCCTTTGAGATCTCAATTTCTAAGTAGCATTATAACGGCACTGATTTTTAATTTTAGGCGATGAACAGGCATACCTGATGGAGTCAAACTATTTAAAAACTCGACTGGAAAATTATAGATTTCATTATAATCATCAGTTTCAATGCTATTTAAGCTTAAATATATTTTCACATCATCGGGTAAACGATGAAGGACTTCTTCATTTATTGCCAATGAATCAACATTTGTTGGTGTTAAAATTGCACGTTTTGCATAATTAGCTTCTTCTGCAACACCAAAAATCTTTTCCACAATAGATTCATTATCACTGAGAAAGCACTGCTCAGGTATTTTAATACACATTCGCAGAGGATCTTTAGGCTTGACAGGTAATGTTCCACTTTAAAAGCCATTGAGAAAATTCCTCTTCTTTTATCTAAACCCTAATATTTACAGTTAATGAGAACCTTTGGACATATTGCCAATGTTCAGAACATTTTATACATGATTCTATAACTTCTGCTGGTTGACCTTGCTTTATAACTGGAAGTATTTGTCTAAAGTCTCCACCCATAATAATAACTTTACCACCAAAAGAAAACTCGTTATTACAAATATCTTGTTATTACAAATATCTTCCAACATATGAGGATGGTAGTATAACTTATCAATTACACATAAAGCATATTTGGGTATCATAGATGCTTTATCAAGTAAATACAAACTTACTTTTCTCAGGAATCTACCATGAATAGAGTTTGGAGTTACATTACATGTGCTAGTTTCCAAATTTGGAACAGGAAGTTTAAATAAGCCATGCAATGTGCACCCATTTTTGTGAAGAGTTGCAGCTGTTCCTGTCCATGCAGCTGTTGCAGTTCTAATATGGCTGCTCTGTGTTTCAGCAATTAAATAATTGTAAGTAAATGTTTTACCACAACCGGTAGGCCCATCCATAAAGAACAATCTTGAATGCTTATTTTCATTAGTAGATTCCTCACTTAGTGCAGCAAGGATCACATCAGCTGCATTACGCTGATTATCATTCAATAACGGTCTCAGTTTGCTTCATACCTGAACATCTTCATCATCATTTTCTGGGAAATTATCTAAAAACTGATCTTAAGCAGGCAAATTTTAATCAGCTAAGGTTTTACCACTGATTAATTATAGATTCAATTTATATTAAGATATTAATAACTATATTATATAAATATGTTAAGAAGAGCTGCCTGTTCAGCAAGTACAACTGGCATTGAATGGTTTATTTAATCCATAATCCTTGATTGATTTAATCTTTAAATGTATTCTAAAGGTGTAAAGGATCTTCAAGTTCACATAAAGTTAATATGATGGAAAACTGTAGCCTAATTTGTTTGGGCATCCAAGTTGCAACAGTTAATGAGGTTTCTTTCTCAAAGAGCCTCTGGTACAGAAATAAAGCGACAGTCTAAATATGTATTAATTTCATCATGGTCAACACTTTCATTAATTACTATATTACTACAATCATGCCCTTTATAGACATATTTGTATAAATACTTTACTGACTTAATAGACATGCAAGCTTCAACATTAAAGTGGGCTTGGTAATTTTTTGATAATCAGGGGTTATAGGGTACAACCCATTGATTATCAACTTAGTTATCTTTTATAATGACTACTCTGCCATTATCTAAACGTCTGTAGTTAGGATAAACAACGTCTGTA